TAGTTAGGTTTGTTAAAATGCGTTTAAAGCCCGTATATGTAAACATTTATCTGACACCGGTCTCAAACGAGATTCGTTATCAAAGTTGCCTTTCAACTTTTCTTTAGAATATGCTAGTAGCAAAGTCTAAAAAACTAGGTGGAACTAAAATTGAATGGGAAACATGGGCTTTTGGTCTGTGCTGATTATGTAAATAACGGAGGATACCAGAAATACCATAAAAACACAGAAGCTCTAATTAATGCTGTTAAGGAGGTTGATCTAGAAGTAAACACAGAGAAAACTTAAGTATACGTCGATGTCTCGTCACCAGAATGCAGAGGAAAATCGAGACATAAAGTTAGTCAATGAATCCCTTTAAAATGTGTCAAAGTTCAGATATTTGGGAGTGACAGTAACAAATCTCTTTGCACTTCCTTCACTATAACCAAACTTTTTACAGTTTCTCATCATCTTCAATGTCTGGCTTGTGTGTCTTTCTGTCTCCGTCTTCTTGTTTCCTCATATCTCAGCATGTGGCTCCAGCCGTCTTTTCTATTATACACGCGCACACATTCCATGTTCTGTATTTCCCCTGACTCCCCTAAATTTCACTTATTTTGCTGGGACCGTAACACAAGAACCGGAAAAATACTGATAAGATAACCGGCTATTAATCACACCGAATAGTGACTAGAAGTGTTATCTTTCTTTAGACATAAATAAACCAGAGCTGTCAGAAGTACGAGGATAGTCAATGACAAAGTTCGGTGAGGTCGACCAGCTTTCTACGATTTATCTCGGGGATTAATTATTATGACATGTTTCGGCGTGTGCTGGGTTCATTTCCCAGAGAAACCGATTCACTCTGGTGAGGAGCGGATTGTGTTCTGGTTGAGTGCATCTCAATCGAGAAGAACGAAAAGCGAAAGCAAACCAAAGTGTTTGGAATGGTCAAATGTAACTGTAAATGTAATATTAGCTTTTCATAAAACCCACAGGTTCATACTGACCTCACCACAGGTTTCTATCCTGAGACAAATGAATCAAATCTACATCCTCACAACCTCTTTATTTAAGATCAGTTTTAATATTATCATCTAGGACTTTTCAGGTTGTATCTTCCCTTCAGATTTTGTGACCAAACATTTGCGTGCGTTTTCTGTCATTCCCATGCGTGTCAAAGAACCCTCCCATCTCATTCTCCGTGATTTTATTATCCTAATACTATATCTTGTAGCGTACAGATCATATAAGCAGTGTCTGATGGCCGACAGTGGGTGTCCACCCAGCCGAAGAACTCTCGCTGCATAAAGATCGACATGTTACGAAATAGGCCATGGATTGTTTGGAGTGTTCTGAGGAACAGAAATGGACATGCGATTTGGGTCATGGATGTCAGGTTAGGTTAGGTCTATGGTTAAATTTACGTAGTGAATTCAGTATAAACTGCGTGGTCTTCTGCATTGTAATGCTGTATATTATTAAAAAAAAGGTTCTGATATACTTCCATTTCGAAACGTCCCGAAGATTGTCCATTTAAACACTGGGTTAACGAAGAGAGGTCTTATAATCACCTCGAGAACCCTTATAGGAAAAATACGTGCTTAGAGAATGTTTCTGAGATGTCATGTATTCAGAATGAGAATGAAATTCTTATATCGCAATTAAAATATTTCATCGAAATCGATCTTGTGAGCAGTAAGAGTTTTATTACGCGTCAACACGAGTGATTCTCCCGAGAATCCTTCGCTTTGGAAATAACACCAGTCGGAGCGCCATTTGAAGACCCGAAGATGAGCCGGGACCATTTGAATGCCAACTGCATCTATGACATCATAAAAACAAATACGTATGATGTGCACGTTCTTGTCCTTGCACTGTCTCATTACACATGTCCACGCCGGGTCGGTTGGTTATCGGATTGTGGCTGGTTCAGATCGGGAACGTCACTTCCATTGGCAGAATTTCTGTTCTTCGTTAAGCCATCGAATGTGACCGAAAGTTCGTGAACTATTACTTTAACGATAAAATTAAATAAAAATAAAAAGTTTATTACGCATTAGGAAATTATTCTGACATAAATGGAGTGACCAAGGAATTGAGGAAATAATGTGACAACTTTGAAATTAAACAATAATCCTGACTTTGACAGACATTTTTCTGTTTGGATTTGAAAGAATAATTTATTAGATAAGAATTTTGGCTAGGGTCATTCTTGGAAATTGGCCACTAGACGTATTCAGACAGATATTAAAATTTATGTATGTGTCGGTTTATTAACTTCATCGCCGTTCTTCTCTGTCCGTCCGTCCCTCCTTTCACTTCTCTCTCTCTCTGCTGTCGTATCCTGAGTTCGTTCCCAACTCTGTGGACGTGTACTGTTCGCGACTGTATTCTTGAGACTTGCGGGGTGAGGAAAGATAAGATGCTTTTAACACTTCGGACTTACTGCATTCCTTTCAAGTCTCAAGATTACAGTCGCGAACTATATGTACCATGGTGTTTTTGTTTTTATATGACACAGAAATTAATGTAAACATATTTTTCTCCCATTAAATGAATTCGAATTTTGTCTTTATTCCTATCGATAGTCTCCAAATTATTGTTAACTGGTGTAATCTAAAATATTAACGGCAATGATTAATGACGTCATGAAACGTGTATTTTTATACTGACGTCAGTTATTGATTACGCATAATTCTTACGTCAAACATACGACAGCGGCGCGATAAATGTGGAATCAAAATATTGTGCAAAATATCACCGAAACTGCAACATAGAACCTAAGCAGTGCACATACGAGGTGCGATCGGAAAGTTTCAAGACTGTGTCAATAGAGGGCGAACCGGATGTAGTACGAGCTTCTGCCTTTAGGGGGTGCGGCCTACATTCATAGTGAATCAGTGTGCCAGCCGGCATCATCGAATTAGCATTTGTTTCTTAGTTACGGGCGTTTTGGTAGTGCATTACACCGACCCTCCTGCGATTGCGTCCGTCTTGAATTTCTGTTGTGAAACTCCGTCGTCCAGTTGTCATATTCGATGAATGGTATTCCTTTTAATGAATGGCTATACACTCTACGTAATCTCAGAGTTACGAAATTGCTAGCTTCCACTGATGCATTCCACTTTGCAATACATCTGCAAAAACATTACATACTTCCATTTACCTATTTTCTCTTAATTTAATAATTGCAGAGATATGCTTCGAAAGTGCACTGTCATCTTCGGCGGAATAATGCTTAATACGATGACTGAATGTGGCAGTATAATGGACACCAGTTCGAATTCCGAACAAGTCTAGCTCTTCTGAGCAGTTAAATGGCGTTCGTCTCTTCTTTTCCGAATCAGTACTATTTTTATTTGCATCTAAACTCGTTATGATCAGCTGTTTGTTACAATGCTGCGTCACCAGCAAATGTCGATGAGAAACAGCGAGATTATCACGAATAGTGAGGTTATGAGGGTAGTGGAATATGTTACTGCTGCTGTCTCATCTTTGACTGACTGAGGAAAACCATTAACAACGTGTACCAGTCGTAGGAAGCAAAATAAATTTACTATCAGGATGCCACCAACTGCAGAGTGGTCAAGAATTTCTGAATCGTAAAATGTTGTTACATTATCACATTGGATATAAGCACGTAACATCTCTTAACATTTGTACGGAGTGAGCACATTTCATAGAAAGTTGGAATTCGTAGTTCTCGACTACTTATATTTACATTTGAAATTGTATAACCCTATTTTAAATAACCTTTGACTCACAAAAGAGTTTTTAATGGAACCACAATTCCCTCAGAGTGGATCCATCATCAATGAAGTTAACGAACCAGAATGTATAATTTAGTAGTTATATAACACAAACAGGATCTATATTGGAACGCCTTCATGCTAGCCAAAAGGACGAAACATTCAACTATAAAACAGCAATTTCAAAATGTTTATGAAGCTGTACAGCCAGAGAAAGCAAACTTAAGGTTTGTATGTGTTAAACCGAAGTCAGAAAACGTAGCCTTCAGCCCGAGATTAGAACAGAGGACCTCCTGAAAAAGTAACGGTGCTAAACACTACTGTGGCGTTCAGTTGTCTTGAGAATCCTAGTGGCAAAACTTTGTAATTTAAACTGGAAATATTACAGTACTTCATTTCCGTTTAGCCCTGTACGTCAAATGTCCGTTATGCATAAACAGAATATGACTAACTAACTAACTAGATGGCTTACCGAACCGAAGGTTCATCACCGAATTAACCAAAGCCCTCCACCGGACTAACAAAATCCAGTTTCCATGAACTCCTATCTCCCGTAGATCCCGCCTGACATTATCCTCCCATCTACGTCTAGGTCTCCCCAGCGGTCTCTTCCCCTCAGGTTTCCCAACCAATACCCGGTGCACACTCTTGTCCCATCCATGCGCGCTACATGACCCGCCCATCTTATTCTTCTCGACTTAATCACCCTGACAATACTGGGGGAGGAGTACAGATTTTTAAGCTCATCATTATGCAGTTTTCTCCACGCCCCATCGTCTTCCCTCTTAAGCCCAAATATCCTCCTCAACACCCTATTCTCAAACACCTGCAATCTGTGGTCCTCCCTCTGAGTGAGAGACCATGTTTTGCACCCATACAAAACAACAGGCAAGATTACTTTAATTTTCAGGTTCTTAGAAATCAGACGGGAAGACAAAATATTTTGAACTGAGAAGTAGCAAGCATTTCCGGAATTTAGTCTCCTCCTAACTTCCTCACGAATATCATTTTCATTTGTTATTGTTGTTCCCAGATATTTGAACCTTGTAACCCTTTCAAAGGACTTATTAGCTAAGCAGAATATGACGGGTTCAGAAACTGTGATATACGAGGTCTGACACACAACTGGATTCGTTTTTGTACAACTGGCAATACTGCAAAAACACGAGTGTTTTGTGTATCAGAATGACTAGAAAGTCCCTGTGCACGCACAAACATATTTCCAACCCTCGTAATTATAGATGCATATGGATTTCTAATCTTCAGATTATGCATAGCAGCATCCAGGAAACCGAGTTACTGGCACGAGCCTGGTGTTGAACCTCTGATCTCGGAGACAGTGGGACAGATTGTGGACAAGGCTGTTCAGCAATGGGGAGACAGGGATGCTCTTATTTCAGTGCACCAGGGACATTGCCTCAGTTTCAGGAGGGTCAAAGAAGAGGTCAGTAAAAGCATAAGATCTTAGTTCTGTTTTTTCTTTTAAGTATAATATACTTGAACTCCAGACTCACTACTCTGAGAACTTTTCAGCTGTCCTCAATCTCACGTGTGAATTTCAGTGTGCATAATTATCACAGAGTTCATGAGTCTTGCAGCAAATTTTTAAGAAATTAAATTGTTAGGAGAATGAAGTAAACAGTGTATTTTATTCAGATATTTGAAGAAGAAAATCATGTTTAAAATGCAAAAAATATCGTGAATGTGTAGCAACTGCAGAAACTGAATCATACTTACATGACTTTGGAAGTGTGCTTAACTACATACTAACAAACATAACAAGTGTTTATAGCACCTTCTATCGTCTGACACAAATGTAGCCTACCAACCAACCGAAAGTGAAAGAAAGAATCATTAAAATTTTAATTCAGTAATGCATGATCACTCCACTCACATAATTATCTGTGGTCCCATCTGTGCCGCAGCACACCAAGTGACTGCTTCCTCTGAGGCTCAGTGCTAACTTCTTCCTTCTTATAGAAGGTAATCCACAGCTTTGTATTCAGCTATTCAGCTGTGCTGTAGACTCAGAGTCTATGTGTTATGACATGTCAAGGTCTGACCAGTGTTGCATTCTATTTCTATAGGCAGATAAATTGGCTGCTGGACTCCTGGGTCTGGGACTGAATCCTGGAGACCGACTGGGAATTTTGGGTCCCAACTCTAGCCAATGGTATTTAACCTTCATTGCAGCTGCCCGAGCAGGGCTTATCCTGGTGAGTGAACCACAGGAAATATGTTAAAACATAAAAAGTTATTTCTGGGATCCAGTAGTTTCAAATGGGATTTCTTGATGACAAAATCTTAATTCAGAATGGTGGGTCATCAGTCTACATAATAATGACAATACTATGTAACTTTTGAAATGACCCCTAATTTCACCCAGCTTTGGCCCCAGTATTTTCTTCAACACTTTGATTTCAGGAACTTTTAATGAATTACTTTCTCGAAGTACACACACTGCATAATAATAATAATCCGTGGCGTAACAGTCCTCTGAGAGCCAAAGCCGACTAGCTGGCTGCTGGCCTCACGTTCACATGCCTAAGCAGAGGTGAATGATAATCCAACCAGATATAGGGTGACGTGTGGTCAGCACGATGAACTCCCAGCCATTGCTAGTTTTCATGACCGGATTATGCTACCCGTTGTAGCTCCCCAATTTCCTCACGATGCTGGGTTGGCACCGGTCGAAAGCTCATGAGAAAATTTCTCCTCTCCCGAGACTCGAACCAGCGCACATTCCGTATCACCGGTCCGAAGCATGATGCCTCAGACCGAGTGGCAGACCGTGCAGCTGCATTGAATAATTAAATTGTATAATTTATAAATTTCTGTAAACCAAGTTAAGGGAAGGAGGTATGATTTCTTTTTATATCTTACATGTTCCTATTTGTATAGAAGTTCCAGCAGAAGTTAATGATTATTAAGTTGCCTTTTATTTAATTTTAGCTGTAGGCAGAGGAAGGAGGGAAGTATTTTACATTGTATACTGTTATTGTCACTGTTCCCATTCTGTTTGATGCTTGACAGGTAAATATTAACCCAGCATATCAGATCCCAGAGCTGCAGTACTGCCTCAACAAGGTAGGGGTGAAGGCACTCATTGCTCCTGAGAGCTTTAAGACTCAGCAGTACCATGAGATGGTGTGTACCATTGCTCCAGAAGTGGAAAGCTGTGCCCCAGGACAGATATGCAGCAAGCGATTACCAGATCTCACCTCTCTCATAATTGTCAGTGATAATGAGCTGCCGTGAGTTCACAGTACCTCATTAGACTTGATTCCACAAACTGGCATCATTCAACAAAACTGCAACATAGGGTATACCGCAGTCACCCTGAGTTTACCATCCCACGTGTCTCACAAACTGCCATGATTTAAAAACTGGATTATGAAATACGCTACAAACCATCTTCAGTTTATAATACTTACCATAATTGCAGTATCATCCACAATTTAGGACTGATGATTTTATAAAAACTAAAAGTCATACCTTTTAATTAAATCTATTTTCTAATTTTTTTTTTATATCTTAACTGCGTCATGTTTGTGTTTAATCAATATAATAATTTATTCACCGTCCGTACACAAACTTAAAATGTTGTTAAAATTACTTAAGAATACATAAAATTACAACATTTTTTATAATTAGATCTTGATATATTTCACATTTGACGACATGTTTCGGTGTATTTCACCATCATCAGGTCAATCAATTTAAAACTGTTTTAAAAAACTGTTGTACATCCTGCTCCGCGTATATTGATATGTTTGACTGTTTTGATTTCCTTCCTTTTAATGCTTGGATGTTTATATCGGGTTGTGAGTGATGCGTTGTACGTCCGATATTATGGGGCAG